TTTGGTGGTGGGGGTGGTTGATGATTTGTTTGTTTGGTTGGTTGGTTCGTTTCTGCGGTGGTTGGTTATTGGTTGCGTGTTTGGTTGATATGCTGGTCGTTGATTGGTTCGTCGGTTGATCGGTTGGGGTTGTGGTTGCTTGATTGGGTTAGTTGGTTGTTTGGTTTGTTGTTCCCGGTGCTGCTTTTGTGTCCCGCTTGGCTATTTTGTGTTCTCTCTGCTTGTCTGGTCAGCAGAATCAACCTGTAAGTATGTACAACACACGGTTGAGGGACACCTGGCCGAGCCCTGCTTCCGTGGCCCCGCCTCTACTCGTAAATTATGCTACAGCCGCTAACAATCACCATCTTCGTTGCCCATCCGCCGGGCTCTGGCCTCCTCGACCTTGCGCTGAAAAAACACTCATTGAACCATCGCCCTCCCCCCACCCCTGAAGGAACGATTGGCCATCGGTGATTGGTCCTGTGGGAGCAACGCTCCGTCCTCTCGAGGACGCGTGGACAATGATCCAACCGCGAAGGAATGCAAAACGTAAGAGTACCCCCCCCCCTCCCCCCCCTCTGTACGGTTTTTGTGCCCCCCGCTTCAGCTTGGAATCGGAGACCGTCACCTGGACAACATCATGATGCTCCCGACAGGCAACCTGTTCCACATCGACTTTGGGTACATCTTCGGGAGGGACGCCAAGCCCGGCGCCACCCCTATCCGGTTCACGCAACAGATGGCTGATGCCATGGGCGGGGTGAACTCCGAGGACTACAGGATGTTCAAGACCTACTGCTGCCAGGTCAGTTTTTTTTTGGGGGGGGACAGCATCCGTACAAACACAGAGAAAATACGTTGTTGGTTGTTGTTGTTGGTTGTTGTTGTTGTTGTTGTTGTTGTTGTTGTTGCCTTCACATTATATGCTGTGCCCGTTGAAGTATCACCACAGTATCCGAAGGGGATGCGTTGAAGTATTTACCGTGAATGTTTTTTTTTTTCTCTGCTGCTGCTGCTGCTGATGTGTTCTCAACGCGGAAGCTCTGGTTTTGCTCTCTCGTCGAAATCGGATGGAGCGGTTGGTTCGTCTGTTTGTTGGGCTCGCGTGGTTGCACGGTTGTGTCTTGCCCGGTCCACTCGATTGCTTCGTGGTTTTTCGTTGTTGGATTGCTGTTCTGTGCCACGCACTTTTTTCTTCGGACTTGCGCCCGTCGTCCCGCTCCCTGCCGTGTGTATGTATGTATGTATGTATGTATGTATTCCGGAATGATTATCGACGCCACCCCTCCCAGCTTGTATGTGTCTTTTTTTCTGCACCTCACACCCTCTCCTCCTGCTCCTCCTGCTCCTCCTGCTCCTGCTCCTCCTCCTCCTCCTCCTCCTCTTCCTCCTGCTCCCTCCTGCTCCTCCTCCTCCTGCTCCTCCTCCTCCTCCTCCTCCTCCTCCTCCTCCAGGCGTACAACTGGCTTCGCAAGAGCGCGAACCTGATCCTGAACCTCCTCTCCCTCATGTCCGACGCCGGCATCTCCGACCTGTCAGACGACCCTGTGGCCGCCCTCGCCAAGGTGGAGGACAACTTCCGCCTCGACCTCACGGACGAAATGGTGGGTAAACTGTATAGCGCTGTACATTGTGGTATTTTTTGTTACTTTGTTCTGAAATGTTATTGTCAAATACCACGTGGTTTGGTTATTTTTTCCCGCGTGTCCTGTGCTATCCACCCACGCGATTCGATTGTACCCAATGGTGTAGGCTGTTTTCTGGAGATTCAGTTCGTTGGGTGTGCAAACTAAGCTGAGTGTTGCGCCTGAGGGAGAAACCGAGAAACATGGAGACTCGTGGAGGAAGAAAGGAGTGAGTGTCAGGCTTGTCAAGGACCGCGTCGGCTGTAGACAGACAAGGGCGAAGATTTTGTTTTTTTGTTGCCAAGCGAATCGCCAGTTCACATACCTTTTTGCTGGGCATTGTAGGCTTACGTGTGGTATTGCAGACGATCTTCAACTATGACGCATCTGACGGCGTGTTGACATCGGCCTTGCGATGGCGCCATCCTCCTTCTGTGCTTCCTGCTGCGACTGATGCTACTGCTGCTGCTCTTGCTGCTGCTGCCGTGCTACTGCTGCTATTGGTACTGCTGCTGCTCTTGCTGCTGCTGCTGCTGCTGCTGCTGCTGCTCTTGCTGCTGCTGCTGCTGGTACTGCTATTGCAGGCGGAAAACCTGTTCCTCAGGCTGATCGACACGAGCCTCCAGGCTCTGGCGCCGAGGGTGATCGAGTTGTTACACCAGATTCGCGTCGCCGGACGATAGAGCGTTCTGTCTGTCCATCTTCTCGCCGAAGATGCCCCGGCCGGTCAACACGTGTTCGTATGCCGATCACTACCGCTTCTGGCACTGCTAGCGCTGTTACCTCTGCCATCACTGCTAACGCTGGTGCTGAGTAGGCGGGGTGTTTTCTCGCAGAGGCGATCGGCAGCCGGGTAGCCTGGGCGGCCCCGATCGAGGGGCATGTACGGGGGGGGGCGGCCATGTGGATGACGCGGCGGCGACATGGTAGAAGAGACAAGGAGAGACGATTGTCGACGGCGATATGAGACCAAACAGGGGCGAGAAAATAATCAAACCGGGTCCACCTTCCAACGGCCGCGTGGATGACATACATGTCGAGCCAATCATCGCCCCCCCCCCCCCCCCCGCCCCCCCGGGATAAGTTGCCTTCTCTTGTCATTTGTGTTGATTGTGTGGGTGGTCGTACGGCTGTTGCTGTGTGCGATCAGCTCTTTCAGACTCCGCTAAAGCCCTCTGCACCAGTGTGCGGCCGTGGCGTCTTCGTGTGGTGGTTACTCTGTCGCGCTGCGCCGTGCAGGCGTGCGAACCGTGTGAAGTCCACGAAGAGCCGATCGACGTCGCTGCGATGCTCGTTGGGGGATTGGAGGTGGTAGGAGTTGCCACCGTCGAGGAAGTTTTGTTTCCTCATGAGCTGAGGGTTGCTTGCACCGCCCAAAGCAGCAATAGTCGCCCGAATAGTCGGGCCACTCTTTTTGTTGTGACGGTCTTAGTCTATATGCGTGAAGTTGGGCGTTGGTCTACCGTATCAGCTGCTGGTATGATTGATACGATTGGGGTGGGGTGGTTGGCACGATGTATTTATTTAATATTTTTCTTGCCAGGGGCATAGCAGCGGTGTGTGCGCGCGTCATGTGAGAAGAGAGTGTTGGCAAACGATCCGAATAGCGCCAACCGTGCTTATCGTACGACTTGCGTTCCTCGGGCAGGTGGGATAAAAATGTCTGCCGTTCATCGCACTTCTTTCGGTCGATTAGTCTAGCATGCCGGCATGGGTCGCAAACTCTGTTGCCCGATAATTATTGGCATGGGTCTACATGCATGCGGTGATGTGAGCTTGTCATACTATATGTATATGTAGTTCTCCCATTTGGAGTAGTACTGGCATCGGAGTATTGCCACACCCGCGGCGACACGGCAGATGTCGGGACCCGCGTGAGAATGAAAGCTGGTCTGTCTGTTCTCGAGGCGTGTGATCTACAAGGAATGTATTTTCGGCGTGTGTTGGTATGCGTTTCGCGGTAATCCGGGATGGGTCACAGGGCCAGTGAAGCAGTAGTGGATGCCACTCATCATACTACACTATGCAACCCACAAAATTAATGATTTGAAGTGCTTTTGCCTCGCTTGGCGACTGAGTGTTTTGGTCGTTGTATGCTATGTTTGCACCACTCCACCCCGGCGCTTCAACTTTTGTTTATGTTTTATCGGGGTTAACGGCTCTCACTTGCATTGCATATTATATGTATCTGAGAAAAGAGCACTGGAGCAGGGCGCAACTTTCTCTTTGAACTACAATAGACGAGACTTTTCCATGTATTTGGCCAAAAAGCAGGTCATGAGTTGCTCGACTTCCGCATCTCCAAGAAACTGAAATTCTCTGCTCGGTTTGACGTCTTCGAGAGGAAATGTATATCAATATGATGTCGTGCCCAACAACGAGCTTGGATGATACCACAGGAAGAATAATAGGTGATCATCCCCCGTGTTTATTTTCTGTTTTTATGGAACAAGGCGTACCACAAGAAAACGTACACAAACGGACCTACATGTACTAACCCAACTAAGTAGTCCTTCCATGACGTCCGTGCAGGCATCCATAAAAAAGCCAACTCAAAGGTAACAATTATCACCCATCTCATGGTTTCGCTGCAACAGCGACTGTTTGCTGAGTAAGGGAAGTCGCTCAATTTGTAACTCCGCTGAGTCAGGAAACGAGGCATGCATGTATTGGGATGCACCCTGGAAGTGTCTGTTTGGTCCTTCTCTATTGCACCAGCCGTGGCTGTGTATCTGTCCGTCCTGCGGTTGAAGTATCTTTCGTGCTGTAGTCTATGTACCCTCAAGAGGCATTCGTGGGCCAGAATCCCCACCAAAACAACTCCGTACACAAGTGACAATTGAACATCCAACATACCGTAAACAATTGAATTTTCAAGTAACAGTTTACCCGAAACGGCAAATATTTGTGCCGCGGCTAGTCGCCGAACGGGAACAAAAGGGCGAGCATTTTTACCACATCTATCTTACGAACATCACCCTAGAAACACTCCCTCTCGCCACAACTACTGCTATTGGCTACTGCCTGTGTCGAGTCCGTAGGCGCAAGGGGTTCGACAGCGAGAGACAGGCACGCTGAGAGAGTGAAAGACAGAGAAAAGAAGACAGAGGGCGAACGTGTGTGCGTGTTTCTTCAAGATTGAGTGATGATGGCGACGATCACCAACGACGCCCATAACAAGAGTCATGCAGGTGTAGCACCAACAGCAGCACCAGCACCAGCACCAACATCACCGGGGCAACCGAACGCGACAGAAGCAAGCACGTGGCCTGGTGCTCTGAGGATCGACGTCGAGTTGGCGGAAAATCATGCCCGAAGGACGACGGGCGCTGATGGCGGGAGCAAGCGACACTGCGGGAGCGGCCGAGTGGCTATTTCCACGAGGCCCCTAACAGCCAAAAACGGTGTCCATAGAGTAACCAATAGAAAGGATTTCGCCGACGATGACAGAGGCGGCGACCGTGACGATGACGACGCGAGGAAGGAGGCAGGAGAAGCAGGCGCGGGGTTAGACGTAGATGCTGAGACAGCAGAGAGTCATCATGCTTGCCGGGTGGAACCCGTCCGGCGCCGTAGTGGCATCACCACGAGATCTGCCAGTCAGCGAAGAAAGCAGCAACAACAACAGCAGCCGCAGCAGCAGCGGTCCATCCTGCAAAAAGGCGGCGCACTTGTCTCCACGGGTAAAGGCTGTGGGGACGAGGCCCTGAACAGCTCGTTTGATGACGAGGTATCCTCGCCATCGGGTGAGACACCCGGGGGCGGAGACAGTGGCAACAGCAAAAACAACACCGATGGTGATGGTGGTGGCGCTGCTGTTGCCGGGAAGGGACAAGCGGACAAACTCGAAATGTGTCACTGGTACGAACGGGAAGTGAAGGCAGAGAAGGGTGGTGATGCTGGCGATGCTGCGGCTGCAGCCGCAGCCTTTTCGTCGGGGAAAATCGAACCGAACGCTGACTTGGTCACGCACGAGCGCGTTGGGGTGCAGGAGGAGGGGGGCGAACACAACAAGGTCAGACAAAACAGCCATTGGTAAAGAAATTGCTGCATAGTCTATACGAGACTATTACAGTATTGTCGTCGACGGTAGCTACAGTATGGTGACGTACCAAAAGAGCTGGATCTTCTGGGGGGGGGGGGGATCTCCTGTGTGTGTTGTATGATGTATGCGTTGCTCGTGCGCTGGTCAGTTGACCATTCGTTCATCATGTACACGGAGTACCAAGCTGAGATGCCAACAACAACAGCAGCAGTTTTCCACTCTTTGTGTTTCGGTGTTAGACTTGTTGCGTCGATTTTGCATCATGCGAACGTATGTGCGGGTATCAAATCATTCTCTAACTACCAATCGCTCCTTTTGTCATCTTTGCCGTCTACTTTCTCTCGTTATGGGATATACTAAAAGTACTTGGCAGACACTGGAAGCGGTGGCAAATAAAAGAGATGGAAGAAAGATAGTTGGGGATTACGAAACATACATATTGTCAACACTTACTTGTGGCCTTCCTTTCCGTGTGAGACCCCAGCTAGCTCTGGTGCGTCCGGAAACGTTCCAAAAGGTGTACAAATGGCCGGTTCCCCGGAGGAGCAACGATGACACACGAGCACGCACATTATCTCTCGTCCGTCGTTCTGTTGACAATTTATTGTTACATAAAGTGTCTCGCAATACCTTCCGCCCTTCCCCGCTACCGGTGTGTTTCGCCGTCTTCTCTGGCAAGTCGAATTTGCCTGTTCGATCTTTTCAACGTTCAGATTTTTGCAGAACCCAACAACGATCGATTGGCTGATATGGTCTGTCATGACGATGCATACAAGTTGTACGCAATATCCTAACCAAGCGTTCATCCCTACCCGCCATACTTCCCAGCGCTGCTAGCATTTGATTCCCATTCTCTTCTGGTTCAACCGACGCCTGTTCCGTATGTTCCGTATGTTGTAAACGTTTCCGTCGCAGTTTGTCTGAGTGGCTACCTCCAACATTTCCCCGTACTCTCGCGAGCGCGTCATTCTTGTTTTGCTTAAGTCAATTTTGCAACCCCTCGCAAATAATTTATTGGGCGAGATGAAACGAACGTGAAAGCTCAGAGTATTTGTAGGCACACCCTTTCTCAAGCCACGTGAAAAATTCGACTTCTCGTTCCCTTCGCGCGCGGGTAATAGCCCTTCTTGCACAGACACCGTGGTGGAATCTTCCAATTCAATGTCACCCCAAACACACACGCTCTCACACGACACGCTCTGCGAGACGATTGTACTGCGACCGGTGCTTGAGGGCATGAGCGTTGGTCGTTTTCCGACAGAGTGCGAGTTCATCGTGCTTAGTCCCCATCATTCCCCGCGGCATCGCTCTTTCTGAGTCGACTCTGTCTGGTAGATCCTGAGTCCCGTCGGGGGGGTTTTCTCCCTATTCCTACACCTTCAACTTTATCGCGAGACGGCTCCTGGAGCACCACACCACATCCTAGACATCCTCACGTCCAACAACTTGTGTTCGGATGGGGGGATACGGACGTTAGGGAACCTTAACCTGTTCTTCCATGGCATCATGCCTCATTGTTTCTCTCTTGTCGTGAGCCCTGTAGATGATGCTTTGACAAGGGTAATGTCCGCGTATCGCTTGTAGGGCTCGTCTCTTTCGTTCGGGTCACGTAGCCGCGACGACATACTCTTGTAGCGTGGAGGGTACGCTGGTAAGTTAGACCACGATTTGATGTGTCATCATGGGATACTCCGATCTCTTCACTAAGTCATAGGGCGACAAATCTGCGAGAAATTTCCCTCTATGCGTAGCTACTCTTCTCCCACCAAAGTACCTAGAACGAGTGGCGTGCCGCGCGAGCCATGTACTTTGAATTAATTCATCACAACATGCTCACAACAATTGCGATGTCGCTATACCAAGATAGTTTTAGTGAGTGGTCATTTTGGCGGTGTTTGGTTCCTTCCTTCCCTTTAGTAACGGTGGAGACTGGCCTCCTCTCTCCTCTCCGACTCATCGCCCCCTGAACCAGGTGGAGGACGACTGTGTCCAGGCACAGGGCGGCCCACCTTCTTCTCTGGAATCTCGCCAGCCCCCGTCGCACGCCAAGGGCATCAGCGGTGGCGGCGAACACCCGCGCCATCCTTCGTCGATGGACAGGCTGGCCAGGCTCGTGTCGCGAGCGATGGTGGCGATAGCGAAGGCTGAAACCACGACCTCAGCAGCCTCGGAGGGTGTGGGGCTTGACCTCCGCTGCAGTGGCAACGCCGCCGCTGTCGCCGCCGTCACGTGGCCAACATCGCAACCGGAAGCACCCTACCCCGATCAGAACGACCCCACCGCCGCCGCCGCCGCCGCCGCCGCCACCGCCGCCCACAGCGGCATCATCGGCCACCCCGCGCAGCAGCAGCAGGGAGAGCAAGAAACCCGCTTGACGTTTCGTGAGGCCCACTCCGACTACATCCACCTGCGAGAAAAGTCCCGCCACATCGATGTCCGTTGCTCGGCGTCCATCAGAACTCTGCAGAGCGTGTCCCAGGCCGTCAGGGCGCCCGGACGAGGGCTGCACCAGTCGTACGATGCCTACCTTCGCGCGTACTACTTCTTTCGGGCGGTCGAAAGGTCGGTCCGCGCCGCCGACGTGCAGGAGGACGCGGCTAGGCGCGAGCTCCGGACGGCGAGCCAGGCTGCCCGGTCGGGCCTAAGGAAGCAAGCCCGGGCGGAGGCGGCTCTACGGGCGTTCGACACCACCGGCGGTGGAAGCAGCAGCTCGTCCTCTTCTTGTTCTTCCTCAGTCAACGACGTCAGCGAGGAGATGCTACCGCCGCCGACGCCGGCGCCGCCGCTGCCGCCGCCACCGTCGGAGGATTCGGTCCCAAAAGAGGGAGGAGCGGGCACAGCAGGAGGAGAGCGCGAAGAGCACGAGGAAAACGAAGCCGAGACGGCGATGATGCCCTGCGTCACCCGCGCGAGCCTAGAGCTCGCCCTCGGGATCGCCCGTCTCGAGGCGAGGCGAGCCTTCGCCGAGAAGCACCGCGCGCAGGCCGTGGCCAACGACGCGCTGATCCTGGTCGGCGCTCTCACGGCCGGCGACTGGTCTCTCGCGGGCGAGCAGTACGACGCGGCCAGAACCGCCTTCCACGATGCTTCGAGGGACGCGCTTTCCAAGATCCAGGAGTTCGAGGACCAGACCTTGTTGTTTAAGAAGCTCATGCAAGGCAGGGTTGAGATCCGGCGGCAGCTGGTCTTGGCGTACAAGGCTCGGGAGGCGGCGAAAGTGGCGTCGGAGTTGGCGGCGGAGGCGATGAGAACCAGGCACGTTGTTGCTGTCGTCGATGTGATGATTGACGTTGATGTTCTCCTTGTCGATGTTGTCACGCAAACAGCAACCACCATACCCTCTACATACACCGCGCCTACCATCCCGCCCCAGGAATCGTGGAGTGTCAGGATCCGCTTGTCTCCGTGGTCATACCATGGCAAGTAGGTCATACGACGGTACATAGATCATACCACGGAGTTCAGTACCGGGAGAAAATGCTAGAGTACGGGAAAGGGCAAGCAACTTCTCGAAGTACAAGGCGCGCTGCTTGTGAACGACAACAAACTAATACGTACCACGCAACACCCTCGCCGCTCGCCTCGTAGCCCTTTGTCGTGCTCCGTGTAAAAACATTGCGTTAGTGGTGGGCTTGTCATACACATTAGAACGCTGTTTAACCACTGTGTTGCTCACTATTTATCATCGTGTGTACGCACGGACACCCACCAGGCTGGCTGCAGCAACGGCGGCGGCGGCCGAGACGGCGATGCTCAGGGCAGCGGCTGAGAGCGGCGGTGGCGGCAGCAACAGCGGCGGCGGCGGTCAGATTGAGAACGGGGAGCGAGGAGGGGGAAGTGCTTTGTTTTTCGTGCCTCCCGATGGCGACCAGGAAGGATGGGACAAAGGCCAGGAAATGAGGCTGTGGCCTCGGAAACCAGCCCCCTCGAGACCGGTCGAGGACCAGAGCGGCGAGGAAGGGGACGCGGGGTGGGCGGCGGGGGGTACCACCGCTCGGGACGACACCGACGACGGCAACGAGGTGCCGGCAAAGAAAAAGGCCAAGATATGAAGATCGGCCAGCTCAAAATCACGGTTTGAATGTCAGATCCGGTGGTTAGAGGGCTGTCTGTACGCGTGTATGCATGTAAAGGTACGAGACCTTAACGCTCGAAATTGCTGGTGCTTGGTTGTATGGTGGGTGAGTGCTGTGGGTGAATACGGTACAACACGGCACCCACCTGGGGACCGTGTGTCGTCCGGTTGCCCGATAGAGACAAGTCTGAAAACTCGCAGAGAAAGGCAGGGTTGTTTGTAGTGCGATGGTGGCGTTGCCGTTCGAGGCAGCCAATGGCGTACTAGTGCGAACTTGATGTGGGTGATATGGCGGCCACACAACACACAGAACGTAATGTCACGCTACCGCAGGGAACAAAGTGGATGTATGCATGAACAGGGAAATAATTGCGTTTAAACGACTCGCTCATGGCAGTGGTGCTGTCGGCGGTAATAACAAACGTGGTTGGCTACTGGTTGGAGGAATCAGAGGGCACGTTGATGGGAGCCTTTCCGACGACGCGTTGATGAGCAAAAAGAAGATACTACGTGGGTGGGACCGTGGATTTTTATGAAGAGGGGTACGGTTGCTGATGGACCAGACTCCTTGTGGATCCCCACGGGAAGAAGCATGCCGTGGTATGACAGTCTAGGGCAATGTTGTTTGTGGTTGTTGTGTGATCGGATTCCAAGTGTTTGCGGAAGGTAAAGGTATCATCATGTGGGTGCGATGTATTTTGACTGGAGGATGCGGTTGCCGGCGCTATCTTGAGGATATTGACGGAAAGAAACGTATTATCGTGATCCAAGAGTCTAGGGCAGAGCCAGATGATTGATGTATGTGGGTTTGGCGTCTTTTTGTGGTGTTTGCGTCTTACGTGATCGGTTCTGGGGTGTTTCGCTGAGGTTGATGGCGTCTAGACTCATTAGCGAAATCGGCGGGAAAAGTCCAGTCGTGCTGGTGTGAGATCGCAATGAATGTCAATCCATGACGACACCTTTTTCTCTCGCGAGCTTGGGGATTTCGTAGCAGGTGAAACAACAAATCTAATGACCGCCTGGGCGCGGCGCGTCGCATTTTAGGTTCAATTCGTCCGACTTCGTTGAATTTTTGAAAGTCTTATTTTGTCGGTGGTCCCCAACAACCCCCAAAATTCCAAACACCCTGGGTGTTGCCTGGAAAGCGCTTGCCCTTTTCGCTGCCGATATCAGTGAAGAAGGAGCTATCTTTTTGGATCCCCATACATACATACGCTCCTTGGCGAGATCTGTTCAAACCAGTGTGTGGGGGGGGACGTACCCCGCACACTCGACCAAGAACAAAACCAACCAATGATTTTCTTCTAATAACCTCGACGGAAAACACGAGGATTATGATGTTTTCTGTTGCCAAAGAAAAGCAACGAAAATAAATCTGCTCTGATATAACGATCGACCTGACACAGTTCTCCTCACGGTGTATTATTGTATGTCACCAGTGGGTACATCAGTCAACCAGAAAGATTCCAACTACTGCGAATGTAGACATACATGTAGTCTAGACATGCAACGTGCGTGATTCTGACCCTGGCAAAATCCTAAAATCAACGTGGTATCTGGTGGGTCTGCGAATGATGTGCGTCTGTAGAAAATGTGAGGTAAACAGAGGTTGGTCGGCTGTGCATATGCATGCATGTTGTGAAAAGCACATATGTGTGGTACTGTAAAACGTTGTACGATTGATTTGCGGCGATTCTTTTGCAAGCATGTTGTAGTCTGCAGGGGGTGGAACGTTGTGCCGGGCATGTGGCTATGTGCTCGAAGTTTCGGCAAGAGAGGTTGTCCAAGGAGGTATCATGGTCGGGGAACGTTTGTGGTACTTGGGTGCGACCATTTTTGTCGCCCTTCTACATTCAATTCTAACAGTAGTTGTGCGGTAAGCCTGGTACGTTATTACACACAAGGTTGATCCGGGGTGTTTGCTCTCATCATGTCGATGTGTTGGGTGTTAGCTGGCAGCCGGGTTCATAAGCGGGCATGATGTCATCACCACAACGACCATCTGCCGGAGTGGTCTATCGGGTGGCGTTCAGGTCGTCATGTATTCGTACTCGTGGGTTCGAATCCCACGGTGGTCAATTTTTTTAGCCGGTCGCCCCGGTGGTTGGTCTGGTTGGTATCCTCGAAACCTTCCAGAGGTCAGGTCAGGGGTTCGAACCTTGCTTGGCGTAAGCGAGCTTTTCTTGCAACGTGAGTTTTTTCTCTCGCTTCCGCTCCTAGCCTAGTGCAGCGTTCGTTGTAGATAGGGCGCAGGCCTAGTGTGTGTGCGGCAACCGTTGCCGCAACGACACGCCGAAGGCAGGCGTGTTGCGGCACCCTTCAGCCCCCCGCAGGGGCCCCCCGGGAGGCCCCCCCGGGAGGGCGCCCCCCGCGTAGGGGCCTCCCCGGAGGAGCCGCCGGAGGCAGAGATTTTTGGACGAAACTCGACGTAGTATTTCTTGCGAAAAAATATCCAAAAACAGCATAATAAATGCATCAATTATTATTGTGTTGTTCACTTTTTTTGCGACAGAATACGTCTCGTTTACCAGCGAGAAAGAGGTATCTATTTTATTTTCTCGCCTACGAGAAAAAAAAGCCTAAAAAAATTCTCGGCGAGAAAAAGTGCCGCAAAATTGTTTTTCGCCTTCGGCGAAAGTATGTGCGGCACGAAAAACTCTGTTGTTAGTTGCGGATATATCCCAGATCGCCACCAAAATGTGGCGGGGCCGCAACGCCGCAACGCCTATCTATTTAAAACGCTGCCGGGTAGCGCTAGTTCGTGTGTACACCGAGGGAAGAGAGTGCTGAACTCTTCTCGCATTAAAAATCGAAGGCAACGTACCGCAGGAGGGGAGGGGAGAGAGGGGCCCTTCTGTACTGTGTGACCACGGGTTGTTGGAGTAAACGGCACTACTCTATGTAGTGCTGAGAGCGCCGCTTTGAAGTGAAGACAATAAAAAAGAAAAAAATACCCGCAGGGGAGATGTCTCCCTATATGCTGTCTGGGAAATCGTAGACATACAGGTACTTTCTGACGCTATGAATCCATTGCTAATCTGTCTCAGACTCTTTTCTATGACAGAGATGGTTTCGTTGTGTCATATTAATAATAAAAAAAAAAAAATGAGGCGTAGAGTATAACCGAAACGTTCCGAGCAACGATCACCCTCATGAGAACGGCCACGGTGACTTGAACGATACCCCGTGTACGTGCACAATCCATTTCCATTCCCTTGGCCCTACATTCTGATAGGCTAGATCTAGAGCAAGAGACTGTATGTCAAATCGCCAGTAGTACATAGCATACACTGCTGTGATGTTGTGATTTTGTCGGTATAACGGTTCACCTGTCTCCCTCGCGTCTCATGCGTAAAAATGCGGCGGAACAGCTGGATACAATTCACGGAGCCCCTGCCATCAGACCAAATCATCTGCTGCTGCATAGCCTCTCTTTCCTACCTGCTCTCTCTCCCTTGACCATGACAGGGAAGAAAAAGGAAAAGAGAAGACGACCGGTAGCATGTCTCCGTTATCGGAGGATGCTTATGCGCACAAGTTTGTTCTCGTTGGTGGTTTTGCTGTGCTGCTGCTGCGAGCCTGCTCAGGCTTCTTCTGCTGACAGCGGCAACAGCAACAGCAACAGCAACGACGCGAGGCAACCCGAAGAAATGCCGCCTGCCGACGTCGTTGACAACGACCCTGGTGTTGATGCCGCCGGTGATGCCGCCAGTGTGCCCGGTAGGGATTCCATCGAAGACAAATCAAGAATAAACGCGAGGAGCGGCCACGTGGAAGACGCGGAGGAGTTGGGAATGCCCTCCACTGTTGCGACACCCGGCGTAGACGAGGGAGAGGGGGAGGATGACGGCGGTGGCTCCGTTTCGTTGACTCCTGCTGACCCAGCAGCATCAGGAGCGGTATCGCTAGCGGGAGCATCCGCGTCATCCTCAGGGACGACAGGTAGTCAACGGGCAACACAAGCGGGAGCGGCTTCCCAGGAAGACGCTGTAGATATCATGCAACAACACGACGTCGCGGCCGCCGTGGCGGCGCACTCTGCCACTGGTCCTGTTGACCTTGATGCCGACACTCCTTCTTCCACCGCTACCCCTGCTGCTGATGCTATTCAAGGGTCTGAACTAGACCAAAACAGCCATCAGCACGATACGAACGTTCTGGCCGTTGGCGACGAAGGTGGGGACAGCGGGGGCGGACGATTAGGCGTGTCGACGGGGTTCGACGCCGGGAGAGAAAAAGAACTGCCAGCGGCGGAGGCGACTTCGGCACCGGGAGTAGACACGGCAGAGGATCGGGCGAGGAACGAGGGCGAAATACAGGATGAGGCGCTGCGATTGGAAGGTGACGGCGGCAAGGAAGCTGGGGGCGCGAGGGATGAAACCGACCGGCCTTGCGGTATGGATGAGCTTGTGGAAGAGACAAAGGAAGCGGTAAAGGGAGGAGAGTCGCTAATGACAGACGGCGGCTATGGGGAAGCAGCACACAGTAGCGATGAAATAGAATCAGGGGCAACCAGACTCGCTGCTGTCGTTGATGATTCTGAAGTTGCCGACTCTGCCACCGCTGATGTTGGCGGCGATGCTGAAGCCGAGCCTACCGCTGCTGCTGCTGCTGCTGCTGCCCTGGCTGCTGAGGAGAGTGTAGAGCAGCGACTACCACCGGTGCATCCCCTGGTCTCCGAGAAAGAACCATCGCTCGACGCACACAGCAGCGATACCGACGCCGTTCAAGCGAAGGACATCGGCGGAGAAGCCCTATCGCCAGCAGTCGGGGACGATGATGCAGATACAGATGGTTTCGCAAGCAATGGTGAAGGTGACGGCGCTGCTAACACTGGCGTTTCTGATTTCGCGGAGCTACCCGCCCCTGACACCGGTACCTCTACCGCCTCCGCCGGTGGAGAATCTCAGTCTGTGCGAACACCCAGCGGAACATCATCACCACCAGAGTCGGCGGCAGCTGTCGCGGATGAGCTCGATGAGGAGCTGTTGAAAGCAGAAGGATCGGGCGGCAGCTACAGCGGCGGCGACGCCGGCGGCGGGGCTGACGATCACGGGGTCGCCGACGGTGGGACGGCGGATGGACACCGCCCCGAGGAGGACTCTGAGGTCGAGACAGAGACCGGTGATCACAGCAGCAGCAGAACAAGCGGGGGCAGCGGCGGGCGGAGGGACGCGAAAGAGTACAAGAGGCCCGGCGGGCAGGGCGAAAAGAAGGAGGTGCGAGAAAGCCGTGAGGAGGTGTATCCCCACCACGGAGGGGACGGTGTTGATGGTGGCGATGCCAGCGGCAGCAGCAGTGGTGCGGCGGGGTTTCCTCGAGGTTCGCCGGAGGACATGGCGCAGCGCGTGAGAGATATGGAGGCGGAGCTGGTGCGCAAGCTCCTTGCGGAGGAGGACGCCAAGTCCTTGCTTGACATGTGAGGGAGATTCTTGACCGGCATCGGCACATCGGTGGTCATTGCTGCGTCCGTTTTGTTCCTATCCACGATAGCAGCGTCACTTGCTGACGCGTGCAGCGTGTCCCCGTGCTGTTGGACGTTTCGTCTACATGGTCGGATTTATTCCTGCAAGTCGTGTCTAGCAAGGAAAACGACATTTTCACAAACCAACACGCCGTTTTGTGTGTGAAAAGGCACGCTAGGAAAGAAGTGGCAAGCGAAACCGTGAAGGTGTGCGTTGCAGGGTTAGTTCGGGAGTCAACGTGTCTTGGCTTGACCTGAACCGATCCCCCTCCCGCCCCCAACGTCGATGCGCCCTTGCCAACCGGAAACAACCTCCGCCCATAACAATGACCTCCTGCGATGCAATACTTTTGTCTGTTAGCAGCAAGCGCCAAACCACGTCTAACCAGTTTGCCCCCTCCCTGTCGCCGGCCTTCCCGTCTCAAAAGCTGGGTGGAGAGAACGCGAGAGTACGTCTTGACCCAGACGGTTCCCCCGACAGACGCGGAGTGCGACTTCAACTGGAGCCGCCTCCGCTGCGAGCCCAAGTGCACGTGCGGCGCGCGGCTCCGCTTCGGCGACTACACCCCCGGCCGCGCCTGCCGCCTGCTGCACCCCTGGGAGCGGAACCCGGAGCTGTGCGGCAGCGGCGTCGACGGCGACGACGGCGGTGGCAGCGGAGGCAGCAGCAGCGACGGCGGCGGCGGCGCGTGGGACCCTTCGGACGAGCCGGCCGTGAGGCGAGTCGTGGCGGCGGCGGCCGGGGCGCTCGGCGGGCTGCGGCAGGCGTACGAGGAGCGGGTGGCCCCGCCTTCGGACTCCGAGTGCAGCTTCAGCTTCGAGACGAGGCGGTGCGAGCCGCAGCCGCTCTGTCGGCTCCGGTTTCGGGTGAGCGCAAGGGGCCAGGAAGAATGCGGTGGGGATATTCTCTGAGCTACGTGTCTTGCGACGGTCGATGGGGATCGGCTCTGAGCTATGTGTCTTGAGTCGATCGGTCGCGCTTGCATTTTCGCTTGTAGTGGTGTTGGAGGTGACGCAGAGAGACAGCGAGGGTGGGGGGCTTCGTCAATTGAGGGGTAGAGGGGAGGAACCCTGGTAGGATGTTGAACCTTGCCGGACCCGGATTTACTAGTTGAAATTGCTTGATCATGACTGTAAGGCCGCACACGTGACGGGCATGCATATACTTGCGTGCTTGCGTCGATCTCTCTCCCGACGGCGTATACTCCAGTGCGAAAACTTGCCACCAACGCACACAGCAGTCCCACGATGCGTGCGGGTTGCACGTGATACCGATCTTGGGTCTGTAGTCGTGATCGGTGTACAAGGTGACCTTGAGGCAAAATGTAGTACGAAACTGACCGTGTCCTGTCTTCCTCTTCCCTCTCCATTGTTCTGCTTTCTTAAGTGGGGAGATCTGACTCCCAGCAGCGCTTGCAGGCTCGCCGGCGGCGCAAGCTCGGACGAGAAGAAATATCGTGCTTCCGCTCCTACGCACAAGAGCCCCGGCGGGGGCACCTTTCACTGAATGGAGCACGCGCGCTGCTCCCCAACCCTGTGTGTTGTCGTACTTGGTGCTTTCAGTTGGATCTCTGGGGCGTGATGTATGTGCGTGTGTTTTTTTGTAATGTGTGTGTGTAGTTTGTTTTTTTGCTGCTTGTTTGTCGTGTGTAAAATGACGCAAGGACGGCGTAGGAAACTGGGAGTGGTGCTGCGAGGCCGCCCTGCCCCCCGCGTCGGTTGTGTGTCTTTCAGTCGGTGGAATCTGCGGGAAACGGTGCATGATTTGGGATGGCGAAAAAGTATAATCCAGAGGAGGCCGACAAAAAGGACTTTTTTCGTTGGCACAACATGAAGCATCAGTTGGACCAGCACGGACGTCAGAAGTCTAAGATATCAGGACGGTTTGAATGTGAAGAGAATGTGAAGACAACAACAACAATAGCAACGTCGACGACGACGACGACGACGACGACGTCGAAGACAACAACAACAACAACAACAACAAGCGGCTGATTGGAGCGATAGTTGTATACATGCCGATGCAGTCAGTGAGAAGGTTGTTGGCATTGGGTGGGGCCGGGGATACTGTACGTTCTCTAAGAGAATCGCTACAATATTGCCCAGGCGCCGTCTATTTAGTTTCTTGGTCAAGCTGTCGTTGGTGTGATGCCAGGGACGGGCCAGGCAGGCAAGAGAAGAAGCTCCCGAAAACAAATCACTACTGGTTGTTTTGTCAATTCGTGTTCCCTCTCATCCGTAGTTAGTTTCTTCCTCTGCGAGGCCTTCCTCCTGTGTGGTCCCGGCTGGTGCGTCCGAGGACATACCGAAAGGTGAAAAGATCAACGTCCAAGAACGAATGGATTATCCGCATCCACACTGTCCCATGCCCGGTTCATGATTTATTGTAGCCGAAGCTGGAAAATAGTGGAACTGAGCGAGAGGCAAAAAAAAGTGCTAATGAAATGACGGTCCCCTGACGGCATTCTGGTACAGGCGCTGCAAGGCGCTGATTGGCCGAGGCCAACGTTCCACCCGGTCCCCAAGAAAATGAGAGAAGGCGTGTGTCACAATCGCCCTCTGCCCTCTGCTCTCCAGCTCTCCAGCTCTCGCGGTCTACCCTCTTCCCCGCTGCCCTGACCAGAGGAACTGCCTAGAGAATTCACCCGGAGAACAAAGACGCCGCAGAAGGGACCAATGACTCTCACAAATCTTGGTGGGCGTGATATTCGTGGTTCCCCAAGCGCATGAGTAGTCTACCCTCTTTTTATCAGGCCCACAACCAAACAGGCACGCCCTTCGCTCGGTAACCTGCTGCAGCGCTGCACCGCCATGTTAACCTCCGGGTGATCGAGGACGAGCATTTGGTGTCCTCCCACTGCCATCTTCGTCTTCCTCTTTGTTGGTGAGTCTCAGTCCTTCGCAAATGGTCCTACAAACATACCTCGTCTATTTTGAGCACCGTAGCCGACACAAGATAACACACCCCGGTGAAAACATTTTGGGCTTAAAAAATATGATTACCCGGGTGTGGTATCCTGTGGGGGGTGTATCTTATGTAGCCCGGGTGATAAAGTGCAGCTCGCAGGGGCCCCTAAGGGTTGTGATAAACCAGGGGGTGTGATAGCACGTCCGAGCACCCACAGCGTGTGTTTGGGGGTGTGATACAAAGGGGGGGTGATACTGTAATACTGATTGTAGAGTTGAGCCGCTGCTGCCGCACACTTGAAGGGGTGTGGCTGCTGCTGGTGAGGTGATGCGGGGGTCATGTTGGCGCCTGTTGCTGTGCCAGCTGCTGCTGTTGTCAAATCATCAGCAGCAGGAGGACGAGCCGTGGCAGGAGCCCCTTGCGTAGAAGAAGTGTGCTCGCTCGCGTTGACATGACGAGGTGATCTGTGGCGCTTGTACTGCTGCTGCGGTCGAAGCAGTTGTGGAAGAAGTGGGGGTACTTGCGGCGGCGTTCTGCTCTCCCTGCACGTTCATGTGGTTGGAGGCCTCCATGCGGGGTGTTTCTCCGCACGCCGATGATGTGTGTGTGTGTGATGCCCACGGGGCAGATGCTGTATCACCCCGGTGATGAAGGAGGTGCCCCGTGAGTGTGTCCGGCGCAACGTCAGGGGGTGTGTCATCTTATGTAGCCCGGGTGATAAGTCGATGGTTTGGCAGAAACGCCCAAAATTATCACCGGGGTGTCGTATTCTGTGGGGGATGTGGTTTCTTATGTGGGTGTGTTATCTTGCGTCGTCTACGGTAGTGCCTCACGGTGGCGATTGGGCTTTGCGGTTTGCGGTGGCAAGATCCACCCTGATGCCCGTGCTGCGGATTTACTGCGGCGAAGAGAGTGAAAATAGAAGATAGCTTAGGCCCAAACATTCTGTAAGTATGCGAGTAGTTGGCTAATGGGACACCTTGTTCATGACCTACTGCTGTATCACTGCCCTTCACCTGGAAACAGCAGAAGGGACACAGCCTGGCGTGTCCATCGATGGATGCGTTGACCAACCCCTACTACCTGGACTAGACTCTGCCCTGCGTGCGTGCTTTCACCGTAACTCTTCCTACAATCCCCTGAACCGCAGCAGCCTCCGGATAATCAGCAGCGACAAGGGCGGCAGTGGAAGCAACAGGGGCGGGCAAAGCTGAAGCAGCAGCCTTGGGGTCACACATTGACGCGCCGGTCGTGAGAGACAGGTGTGCCCTTGACTGACTAGTTTATGTTGCTGAAACGCTTGGTGTGCATCAGTACCTTTGTGCTGTGCTGCTGCTATTCTTCAGGGATGCGGTGTAGAACCGCACCGTCGTGCTTTGTTTTTCGACATGGTCACGGTGCGGTGCGGTACGGTGCGGTGCGGTGCAGCTTTTTCTACTCCATGATCAAACCCGCGCGAACGGCGACCTTGGCGGCGGTGCGCCGTCGAAGAAAACCACCCAAATACTGTTATCCGTGACAAAAATGACGGGATATCTACGATTTTGTGGAATACGTTCGATTTAGTCAAGTTAAATGAGTACAAATTGTGCTGTGCATGGAGGCCGCCAACAACAAATTCCGCAGCCTTGCCGTCAGAGAACCCGAAACCTAGACACAATGAGAAGGCACTGTTGTGTCATTCACTTCATTATGCCAGTCACCGTACGTCCCTACGACACGGATTAATAGCTAGATACCTCACTTGCCTCTACTGCTGTTGGAGTTTTTTCTCTAGTTCTGGCAGCACCAGGCTGCTCAGTTTGTTCATAACCACCCTAAACGCGTCCCTTCTACCCTCAGTCAGAGTCGACCTCGACAACTGCTTGCTCTCCCTCACGAGCAGCTTTTGCCTTTCCTGGCATGCGTGTGCATGGAAAAAACGTGACTTGCCTGCTGTTTTACCGCGGTTCACCGCGGTTTTGGCGACGGAGTAGGACAAACCGCACGGTGATACTAGATCGGGCGGGGTAATGTGCCTCAGGTTAGTCGACTCAACACCTTGCAGTAGTCTATGTGTCTGCGAATCTTTTTGCTCTTTGCGGTGCGTGGCGGGTGCAATCCATCATTTTGAGTTTTGAATCCGAGTCATGACAAAAAGCAGTAAAGTGCAACGAACGTCCGCTGGGATTCGTGTTCATACAGCAGTACGTACCGTAGGTGACACAAGATACCACACCCTGGACCAAATGTATAGGCTCGGTTACTCCACACCACCAAGAGTGGCGGTGACGATTATGGTGGCGTGGGAATTGTCTCGTCGAGAGCTTTCCGACAACGTCTCGCTGAGGTTACGCATGCTCTTGGTCATGGAGTATTTAGCTTTAAGAATCGGTACAGGGGGTATCTTATGTTACCTACGGTAGACCTGTGTGCATACGTCATACGTACGCTCCCCTTGTTTGGTTTTTCGGTGGTTTCTCTGCACAGAGTGACGCGGTAGCAATGAAAAAGCTATTCCCCGGGAGATTCCCCGCGAGTGTTGTGCATGCAACGTCTTGTGTGGCGCCTGATATAGGCCACGGGGCCATAGGACCCACGGAAGCTGAGGTGGCGAGAGTCGGCAGTGCATGTATGCGAGAGAAACACCCTGGCGCAAAAACAAAGAAGCCGCTTCTTGTGCATTTTTTCCCCGTGGCACACGTTTGTTTCCAGGTGACCCCTCCCCACACACCGAAGCAACAGGAATAACAATGGTATCCGCCACGAGCTGTGTCCATGCTCCGTATTGAGTGGTGATTAACACCGAACAGGAGGCTGTAGGACGCTCAGAGATTGCGAGCCTGAAAAAAAAACGCCGCGTCTGCCGGGATCTGTTTGTACACATTGCTTTGCCCAAGGCGCAGGTTTGGTTTTGCGATGATCCCTCCCCACACCGAAGCAACAGCAATAGCAACGACATCCGCCACGAGCTGTGTGTATGGACCCCTCCCCTCGTTCCCTCGCCAGTGCTGTCTTGCCCCTCGCAGCGGTGTTGCGTGTTTAGCTGAGTGCTTCCTCTGTTTCTCCTGGTTTGAACCGAGCAACTGCATGTGCGCGTGTGGAAGACCTCCGATTTTTTTTCTCCTCCATTACCTCTACAACTCCCGGGGTCGCTCCCCTGGGCGTTGCTAGTTTGCTCCTGGTTGACCAACCGAATGCGGCGCGAGAGGCCGGCGATGTCGCTTTCATGGACGTCGACGTCTTCGCAGGCGGCCCGCACGTCTTGCCGAAGCCAGCTCACGATTGCCTCGGCCATGCGCGAGTAGCTGCAAGGCACGAGGATGGGAAAGGGGTCGGAGTATTCCCTATTTTGGGGACAAATGCCTGTCAAGCACGGCCATCTGTTGTCGGAGCGCGACCAAACCGGTGCGACGAAGAGTGCCCTAATTTGTTCCCTCCTCACAATGCAGCAGATCGTAAATCGGTGCTCTATAGACCTCGTTCTCGTCGAACAAAGGCGATTATTTTTGGACGGTCCATTAGTGGGCGAAAATTGCAGAAGGGCCCCTACATCGCGTGGGTTAGAAGAGCCCGATATATAGAGCCTCTTTTTCCCTCCTGGGGATGAAGGGGAAAATGTCGTGCTTCGCGCTTCGCACCGTGATAGACACCGCATCCACGGTTCCTTCTGAATCCCCACGATGCGGTGCGGTGCGGTTTAACCGCAACGCACCGTCGAACAAAAACGCACCGTGAATATTCCTGCTTTTTTTTTCATCCAATATGCTGGTGAACGCATAGGATATTGCGTGGAACTGTTTGGTGGCTACGGGAAGGATGATCTACCGCATGTAATCTATAGGTTGGTCCGAGGCGTTGGGAAGAGCTACAGTAGATGCGGTACCCTTTGGTTGACCTTTGTACCACGTACCAAATTTTACTGTTGTTTTTATTACCTCGTGCAGGACACCTCCGAGTGCAACAACAGAGTTGGACAGGATTCAGGTACATTAAGGGCCAGGAAACAATTGGGAGGGTAGAGAGGACTGCGTTTGGCACCGGTGGTGAATGGCA